CACATAGCAACACGTACCATAAACAAACTCAATAGACAACAGAGTTGTGAAGTTATATCTGCAGCGCAGATAGCAGCTGAAGTACCAACATGTATAATACACAGAGCTCTTACAAATTGACAAGGAAACGATGACCCCAGTAGAAAAATAGCCAAAGCTATCAACAGGCTGAGAAATGTGAAGAGATGGCCAGATTCAGAAGTAGATAGAGACATGCAAATTAAAGCAACTGAAACTCAAAAATGAAAGGAATTCCTAAATCTGTTGTTAGTAGGGGAGTTTTTGTCATATATTGCATATAAATTATAAATTTTTGAAAAGCTGTTGGGCAATAACTATGTAATTAAAAATGTTCATTCCTTCAACCCCATTCCTAGACTCAATCCCATAGGAACTAGAAGCACTAGACTTTATTAAAAATATCTAATACATATTAAAAATATCCATTGCAGCATTGTATAAAGTGGTGGTAATAAACAAAAGAGAGAGAAGGTTTATGTTTGTCAGGGAGAGCTAGAATAAATTTAAGTACATCTGCCCTGTGGAATATTATACAACTATTATAAAGAACTACTGTACTAATTGACTCAGAGGCATTTCCATGTGCATAACAAATAAGGATGCAGATGTAAGCATAATATGGCATTTTTGAAAAGCAGGTGCTCCTTAATCCCCTTGTTTGTACTATGCATGTAAGTATGGGGAAAAATATAGAAAGAATATACCTGCCACTTTGTTGATAAGTGTTAAAAGGCTGCATTTCAGAAAGAGTCAGAAAAAACCCTAGCATTTATATAACCCGTTTATGCAAAATGTACGTATGTGTGCAGGAGAGGATTAGGACAAGCTCCAGGCTTGTGGGCTGTCTGTGCTGTGTTGTCAGGGACGAGAAGCATGCTCGCTGCAGGCTGAGCGTGAGCCAACCAAGGGGCAGATGAAGGTGAGTGACTTCAAATGGCACCGCGTTTGGGGTTTGCAACCCTCGGTTTAAAATCACTTGTTGTATGTAGAGCATTAAATGTCCCATTTTTCTAGATGGCCTCAGGCCCCTGGGAAGATTAATGTTCTGGGGTCCGTAGAAAGTGCTCGTTGTGTTTTAAACCAGCTTGTTTGCCACTTGCTAAAGTGGCCCACAGGACACATGCTGGCCGTCTTTGATCCTGATCTGATGTGGTCTTCCGGCTGAGGCCTGGATTCTGAGGGTTGTCGCAGGCGATGCGGCCCACCCCGGGCCTGCCGCGTCTCCGAGCGCCCTCCGTGAGTCTCACGCACATCAAGGTCCAGGATCAGAACCCAGGCTTTCTGCTGCCCGGCCCCTGGAAACCGCTTCCTGACGGGTTCTGTCCAGGCTTCCAGTTGTGCCCAGTGGGAAGGGAAGCCAGAGCTAGGAGTGGAGACCGTGTAGGCCTGCCTGTCCAACTCAGGATCGGCTCCTGCCCAGCCTAGGGGGAAACACAGAGCTGCAGGCACCACTCCCATTGTATCCCTGGCCCCCGAACCCGGGCCATCACTGGTGGGCTGTGCCACATTCCTCCTGCCAGAGACATTGTCCTCAGGGTCACCCAGAATTTCCCAGTGGAAGTATTCTGTGTGTGCCCAACACTTGGCGGGTGCCTGATGGGCAGCAGGCATGGGGTAAAGGTATTTCCGCTCAGCTAGCAGGGGCTGACCCAATAAGCCGGGGCGACAGCGGTCAGAACTCCAAGTCACCTCTTTGCGCTGAATCAGCATCCTCTAGCTTTAAGCCTCCGTTTGTACCTGTTTGAGCCACATCCCATCTCTTGAGTGGCAAGTGGCGGAGCCTCTCTTCTTTTCGAGCCTTCGTGGCTGCCCAAGGAGACTGGCGTGGTGAGCCAAGCGAGGCTTCGGGGTTGAAGTCGTTCCTTCACCTGCCGTCGGCGTCGCCAGTTTAAGCCGTCGTACTCACCCTCTGAGCCCATCTATCTCCCCTGCGAAATGGGGATTGTCTTGACCCTGAAGTGCTGCTGTCAAGATTCCACAAGATAACGTAGGCCGAGCTCTAGAAGAATACGCAGTAACTTTCAGTTATTTCGCTTGTCATTTGTCACCCTTTTTATCAGGAATTCAGGTTATTTGGGACAGCATAGGTAGGTAACTGTAGAGGTGTGGGTGGTTTTGAAACTGGCTGCGGTCACGAGCTGTTCATCAGAGCAGTCCTGCAGGTGGGTCACTCTAGTCTAGCTGAGTTGAAGACTAGTGGCGACTCATCTTGGGAATCCGTGTGGGGAACTCTGTAGACCTGTGGACTCCCACTTCCTGTGTCCGTTGGCCCCACTCACGCAGCTGAGTTGCATGTGGTCACTGACAGCCAGGCAACAGCAAGGGCTGCCAGCTGAGGGAGGGGATCGTGTGAACAGGGCCAGGCCTTGAGAGAGCCTTTCAGGGCCGCGGTTTGGCGGCCTCCTGCTGGACCAGTTTTTCCACTTGAAGGAAGAATATACTGGGTATGTTTGTATTTCCTGACCCAAACCAGCCATTGACGTCAAGACTTAGCTCTGTTGTTAAGAAGTTACACCTTTATGTTTTCCTCTTCTTTAGCTTTGCATGTTTGGGGCTGCAGAGAACATTTATTTTTACCGATTTTGAATCAAAGTGATATCGTCATGAATCTGGATAGCGCTTGAACGTTTTGAAAACATTTCTTATGTATTTTTTAAATTTTATCCTTGTAACAGCCTTGTGAAGGAGCCCTCACAGATACATCGCTGTTGTTTTTGTAAGGAAACTGAGGCTCAGACGTGTTAAGTGACTTGCCTATAGTTGCACAGTTCTAAGTAGTGGAGCTGAGACCAGGGCTTCCGACGTGGGGACTGGGACGCTTAGAGTAGACGCAGGGAGCAGGTGTAGAAGACGTTCCCCTCGTCATATGGTTACTTTCTTTCTCTTGGCCTCTGGTTTTCGGTGAAGAGCAGCATTCCTCCTTTCCCTGAGAATACCAGTTGAATTGTTAGAGTTTTATGAGGCCTTTGAAAATGCGAGCCAAAGGCCTTTTGCGGATAACTTCCTATCTTTTATTCAACCTTCACATTTGGTATCTAAAGACCTGCAGTGAACAGGTGTAAGGAGAGGAGCGAGGGAGGGAGGAAGCCGGGCAGCGCAGGATTTGCTTCAGGGGCCTGAATGAAGGTGCCAGGTGCTCTGAAAGGGCTCCAGCCAGCCTCAGGCCTGCGGTGACACACTCGGTGACACACTCGTGCCCCCTGGAATGCTGACACCCTTTTTTAATTCTCCTAGGAGGCAGGTGGTGGGAGGGTTGCGGAGGACCTGTTCCTGGAGACCCTAATGCTTGTTAGCGGTGCCCAGTTGCCTCTGCTGGCGGAACCTGCACGCTGCCCAGTGCAGAGGTGGTGCAGCGGGTAAAGCTGCCCACCAGAAAGCCTTTTCCCTTTCGTGCCCCAAATGGCATACTACTTCTCCCTTCCTCCCTTCCTTTTTCCCTTCATCCCAGAAAATAGGAGGGACCAGGTCTCTTAAGATTGGAAGTTTCTCTGCTGTTTGTAACAGTGGAGTCACGTGCCAAGGTTTTCCCCAGACACATCCACAGGCCTGAGGGCTTCTGGATGGAGCACCATGAAAATCGCCGCTTGTAGACAGAGGCTGTAGAGAGGAATTTAACATAACTAACTAGAAATTCAGATCAGCACATGTTTATTTGAGGACCAGCCATACGCATGGTGCAGTGCTCTGATAATACATTGTAGAGAATTAGTGACAGAGAAAGGATGAAAATACTACTGAACAGTGGCTTGCCAGCTTTGTGATCCTAACAAAGTTACTTCAATTCTCTGTGCCTGAGTTTCTTTATCTGTAAATGGGGAAAATAATAGTTCTCATCTGAAAGGTTTGATGTGAAGATTCAATGAGCTAATAATACATGTGAAGTGCTTAGAAACACCTTGCGTAAAGTAAGTGCTTTGTAAATATTAGCTATTAATGAATCAGTGTTATGCACCCGGTTGTCATTGAATTACAGCCATGTTAGCTGTTGCTGTTGTCCTTCTCATTATGTTTCAGACGTGAGCTTTAGAAATTAACATTTTTGAAAGTAAGAATTCAAGAATTAGTTTAAGTTTTTGGACTTCTACAATCATATAAATACAAACATTTTAAATTTTGGACTGTAGAAATTCAGTTTTTGATAACTTGTGTTTATGATTTGAAACAATAAACTAGGTGTCTTCTTCTATTTTAATTTAGTGGCCTTTTTTATTCATATGCCAATTGATGATTAAAAAGATTCTTAAGGGATAAAAAGCCAAAATCCAAAAAGTTTAATCCGTTGTCTATATGGGAAGTTCCTTTAGAAAAAGTAATGTTTTTCTTTTGAAGTTACGTGTTTTTGAAAACCAACTTGTTCTTAGATAAACTACATAAGTAAATTGTTTTTAGTAAGTCTTGAAAATATGATCTTTACTCCTCTTGTGGAGAAGTGGAGTTTGGAAGAGATGAGAGTAATTTGAAAGGCCTTATAATGCCCTCATAGTTTTGAAAAAGGAGTTAAAAAACAAACATTTTTAATAATGTAAATTACTTTGGGGGGCCTTGAGGTTGTAACTTGATTAACCTTTACTTATACTAAATAGACTACTAGACTGTTACTCAAGAAATACAAGTTATTTTAAAGAAAAATATCCAATTTAGACAATAGTATTTTAGAATTTCTTCTTGGTCAAATATTAGGAAATAAGCCATAAATCTGGTATTAGTACAAAACAAGGTACAGATGTGGTCAGTATTTAACCTTAGCAGTCATGGTTATTTGCAGAAACATCTGATCATTTCCATTATTTAAGTAATTAAGAATATGATACGTAATCCTTTTCTGTAAAAACAGAATTTTAAAACATTAACGATTAAGCAGGGAGCTCAAAATGCTACTCTGATAAGTGGCGAAAGCCTTTGTCCATAGCCATTTCTCACCAGTTTTCCTGATTGTAGACTTCCCTTGTTGTCATGCTCACTTCTCTTTCTGTTCTCAGTGATTTAGCCCTGCGGAACTGTTTCCTTACCTCAGATCTAAATGTGAAAGTGGGAGATTATGGAATAGGATTCAGCAGGTACAAGGTAAGCCAAAGGTTTGATCAAAGGTTCTGTCCTTAATCTGATTTAATTGCATAGTTGTGAGGTGGTAATATCACAGAACGCCTCTCCGTTTTTGGAAGAGAGGGGTAAGGATCTCGGCGTGCTGCCTTTTTGGAGAGGAGTGGGTTCCAGTCATTTTAGTGGTAGTGTTGGCTTCTCATGTATGGTTTGCCTAAATCATTGGCCTTCTCCCCAAGGTTTGGTGACAGCTTTCCAAATGCATTGTTTAAAAAGATATACTCAGTGTAATTGATATGGATTGATGGTGCATAATAAATTTTAGTATGCACATGGGCACTATAATTATTACCACTTATATAGTAAAATATGCATGTAAATGTTTCTTTGTTATGTATTCAGTAAAATTTTGGCCGAAATTCAATAATCCTGGGATTTAAGTTTTTAAACTGTCATAAATATATCCCCATAGAAATCAAGAAGCAGATGAAGTTTTTATTTGTGTTTGTGTAGCCCAGCTGAAGGAGGTTGCTTGATGTGGGGCAAAGAAAGCAAATTGTCCTGGCTCCATGCTGTCAGGAGACCGTGGAAAAGCCACTTGACCTCCGTTTTCTAAGTAGCAACATGAGGATAGCTGTTCTGTCTTTTGGGGTTCATGTGACGACCAAAGAGGTCGCATTTTCACAGTACTTAGTAACCAAAAAGTGTTATGCAAATGTAAGTTGGCCATTTGTCTACATAGTAGCTCTCGTGTCTTGAGTGCTTGCTGTATACCAAGCACTCCGAGGTACTTGCCTGCATTATCTCATTTAAACCTCATCATAAAGGGACGTGGGTATGGTATCACCCTCATTTCACAGATAAGGAAAAGGCCTAGCGTGTTTGTTTCCTGCCCAGATTTACATAGCTGGTAAATGGTTGAATGCGGACTCACAACCCAGTCTGTCAAATTCTAACGCCTGTGTCCTTATCATTAATGGAGCCCCTCCCCTATTTCACGCATAAGGCCCAGCTGGTTTGCTCAGATCCCGTGTTCTGTGCATCAGGTACAGCGTACCTTCCTTTTCCAGGAAGCGTGACTGAGGGAGGGAGTGTGGCTCAGAGACCAGCTCATGAAGCCCAGCAGGCTTCGGAGAAACCCTCACCCACCTTCTGCGCAGAAGGCCTGTCTCTATCCCCACTGCTTTCTCTGACGTATCTTTTGGGTTGAGTATGTGTTTTCTGAGAATGACCTGGAATGAAATCATTGAGCTCACCAAAAGTATAATAGAATTCAAAATTCTGTATGCTTTCTGACAAAACAGGAGGATTATATTGAAACAGATGATAAAAAAGTTTTCCCTCTGCGATGGACTGCTCCAGAATTAGTAACCAGCTTTCAAGACAGACTACTAACTGCAGATCAAACTAAGTACAGCAACATTTGGTATGTACTCATTTACCATTCCGTTAGGCTTTTGCGTGTAAAGTCCTAGCTTCTTTGTTCTTGAGTACTTTCCTAAAGGAAGGTAACTGAATAAAATGTAGGAACACAAGAGTCCCTGATGGTGTGAAAAAGACTACTGACATCATGGCAATAGTCACGATTGCAATGATATAACTAACTTTTTGCATATTGCCACTGTTACCCATTCGACAGTAATAAGCTCCTCAAACGTGGGAACCAAGTCTATTTTCTGTGCCTCCCACAGGGCCTGGCATGTAATACATACTTAATAAGTATTGAAGTGAATGAAAAAACAGAAAGGGGTTTGGACTGTTGTGTAATACTGGGATTTATAGGAGGTTAGTTAAATGTGAGTTGAAAAAATGTCTCAGTCTTTGAACTTCTATTACAGCTTTCGTAATTTGTACCTACATTTGTGTGTGTGTGTGTGTGTGCTGTTGTCTTGCAAACTGTTGTTTCCTCTTGGTTTGGGAGCTGTGTACTCTATTCCTATACTTTTCTTGGTTTTCCTAGAAATTGTAACATGTATGCTTCACTTAACGTAGTCTAGTATTAGTTTTATCTTGGCCCTCTTTCTGAACAATGCAGGGATCTCCGAGAACTTTAAGTTTAACTATACAAAACACACACACATGCATGCAGCTATATGTTATTGTTGAGTATTTTAATTTTTTCTTTAACCCCACTCGGCATTATTAGTGGTTTTAGCATGAGTGTTTGTTTAGGTTTATCCAAGTACTCAGATCACTCTGTTCTTCATTCTTTTTGTTTTTCTCTTTTAAATCTCGGACATGTAATCTGGGATTTCTCTCCTTTTGCCTGAAGCGTGTCTTTCAGAATTTCCTTTAGTGAGTGTCTGCTGGTAACAGACTCTCAGTTTTTTGTAGGTCTGAGCATACTTTTATGTTCTCATTCTTGAAATATATTTTTACTTGATGAGAGTTATTTTCTGTCAGCATATTGAAGATAACATTCTATTGTCTTCTGACTTCCATTGTTGTTATTGAGAAGTCAGCTGTAAGCACCTAAGCTCTTTGAAGGTAATGTGGCTTTTTCTCTCTGGCTGCTTTTAAACTCTTCTCTTCATCTTTTGAGTTTGAGGGTTTTGTTTTTGTTTGTTTTGTAGTTTCACTGTGATGGTATATGGATGTAGATTTCTTATGTTTTTCTGCTTGGGATTTATTTGGCTTCAATCTGTAGGTCGATGTTCTCAGTCTGTAGGTTGGTGTTGTTCTTAGCCCTTAACCTTAAAATATTGCCTCTGCCCCATTTTCTCTCCTTTTGGAAGTCTAATTAGACATGTGTTAATGCCTTCTTGCTCTGTCTTCTGTCTCTTAATCTCTTTTATATATTCCATCTCTTTGACTCTGTGCCACATTCTAGATAATTTTTCAGACCTATGCTCTAGCCATTGATTCTGTCTCTTTTTTTTTTTAATTTAAAAAAATTTTTTTAGCTGAGCCATCCTGCCACCTGTTGGCAGCTCAGCAGCAGCTCAGCTCGGGCCGGACTCGAACCGCTGTTGCTCAGAGCTCAAACCTTTGAGCGAGCTCTTAACCAACTGAGCCACTCAGCCGGCCCGATTCTGTCTTTTTTTAATATCCTCTCTTCAGCTGTGTGTAATTCTCTATCAAATCTATTAAGTTTTATAGTTCAGTTATTGATTTTTCAGTTTTGGGAGGTCTGTTTGATTTTTAGAAATTTGTCCCAGTGTTTTAAATAATTGGGTTGTGAGCTAATCAGATAATTTCAATATCTGAAGTCCTTGTGTATTTGACCTTGCTGCTTGATGGAGCCTTGTTTCCTTGGGGACTTTTTTGTGGTGAGGATCTTGGGAACCTAGAATCGAGGAACATTCTTCTGGAGAGGACCTGATGTGTATCTGTGGGGGGCCTGGGTGTCCCCATGCACAGGTACTACACTGGTCCAGGGCTTTATGTATTCAGCTTGAGGTTTTTTTTTAGACTGCTCAGATGATGTGATTTTGGGCTGCAAATCCAAGTAAGGGCTAGCTCTGTGGTTACAACGTCTTAGGGACTGCCCCCCAACACACATATACACACACACAGCATTCACACTCATACAAATACAAGCACACACGCACACTTAGACTTATTCAGTCATAGCATCTCAGTGCCAAGGCAGCTTGCCTGTCCGGCTCCTGGAGGGGCTATAGGAGCAGGTGTATCCCACTGTGAGCAGGTTTCGCTGTGAGACCCCTTATCTTAGGTGGGCACAGGGCTTCGGACTGTCCTCCACCACCACCACCACCACCCGCATCAAGCCTTGGAAACCAAAAACATAGAAGCCCAAATTTTGTGTTTAGCAGATGCCCCAGAGCAAAGGAGGTTTTAGTGTTCTACTCAGTTCTCCACAAGTTCTAGGTCTTGTCCTGGTAATTCCCTGGTATTTTATCTGTGCTTCGATGCCTTGAAAGAAAATGCCTTTTATGCTGCATCCATATTTTTACTGTTCTTATCAGGGGGATTGACCTGAAAACTTAGTCTGCATTTGCAGAGACAGAGCTTACCCCTTGTTTCTGACAATCTGAGAAGTCACTGGTGGCAGTGTCACCTTCCACCAGAGGCAGGGGCCACACTGCTTTGTGCCAGGGGTGAACAAGAAGGACCTGTCTCCCAAGAGTCTGGTGGAAGAGGGATAATAGCTGCAGGACATTTTTCTTCCCAGAAGAAAGAGACTCAGAGGTTCTCAGGAAGGCACGAGCCAGTGCAGGTGAAGAGTTGAATAGACAGGACTAAGAGGAAGGAGATAGTTGTTGGCGATTATCCCGCAGGAGACTGGACGGGACAGAACAGAGAGGTCGGGCCGGGATGACCTGGAGCAGGAGACCCCTCTCATCTTTCTCTGTGGCCTGTCTGAGGAGATAGAAAGGGCTGCTCAAGGAAGGTGTCAGCAGTGGTGGGGTGGGGAGTTGAAAAAGCCCATGCTTCGTGTTCTCTGAAGAAGAGGGTGAGATGAGTCGAAGAGGGTTTTGGAATGGGCCTTACTGGGAGAGGGGAAGGGAGTTAAATCAGGGGTTTAGAGAAATGGAGACAGGTAGAGATGTTCGCCTAAGGTCACACTAAGCTTGATGGTGATAACACCCATTTTACCATTAATCATACCCCACCTTTGTGGTCTGGAGTATTTCATGTGAACTTCTTATTTTCCTCAGTTAAATTGTAAACTCCCTAATAGTATCTTAAACTTCTCTTGTATCCAGGATGGCCCTCTGCCCCAGCAGTTCTATGCCACGGAGTAGGCACTTCTTACTTCTTGGACTGTATCAGGAACTTTGGGTCCTTTTATTTTCTTTGACAGAAATGATCTCTCAACTTAGATACTGAATATGCTGATTTTTTTCACTGATATGTACAAGTAGCATAAGAGAATTTAATGCATAAGTTATATTATGCAATGTCAAATAAACTTATTTATTCAATAGAATTTACTACCCAAACAAGCAGTCTGGTGGGTATCAATCAAAGTCATGTAAACCGTCAATACCCAAACCTGGCTGGACATCAGAATCACTATGGAGCTCTTTAGAAAGACCATTTGCTGGGCTGTATGTGCATCTACCAGCTAAGGGTCCTTGGGGCTGGGTCCTAAATACCAACAAGTTCATTTAAAGCTTCCCACACGACACAGACGAGCAGCAGGTTCAGGAGCCACTGCAGTAAGTAGGAGACCGTAATACATGAGAAGGCAGTAAGGGTGGGAAAGAAATGCAGACACCACATAGAGGAGGTGAAAAATAAGTGTTCATCTGACTGAGCAGCACAGGCCGTCGTCTCCTTGGGGACAGAGCGCTGGGCCTCAGAGCGAGTGGGGAGGTAGGGAGAAAGGGCATCCCTGCTTGTGGTACAGCTGCACACCTGGAGGCGAGAGGCTTGGGCAGGCGGCCCCCTCGGGCGCACAGACAGGGGCAGAGTAACGGAGGGAAGTCCCTTCCTAATAGTAACACACCCCAAACCACTCAGGAACATCTCCAGTAAGAAATGCCTGGGTCTGCCAGGGAAGAGTTGTTCATGTAAAGATTTCTCTAGGTATTTTCTGATGTTTATACTTCTGTAGTGAATGGAAGTTTTTTCTACCAAAAACTCAGGACTCGCGATCTTTATCTTGTTTCTAACCAATTTGCTGAACTCTTAACTCATTCTAATGCTCCTTCAAAGAATTTCTTGAGTTTGAGAGTTGAGAGTGATACTGGCTCCTCCCTGTGATTATGACTTGTTTCCTCGGCTTCGTATTTTTTTGCATTTGCCCAGAACATCTAGAGTAGTATTCGGTAGTGAATATGCGGAGACATTCTTGTTGTGGTCCTCATTTTAACGGAAATCTCTCTTTTTTTAAACCATGTATTTAACCATGTTCGAGAGCTATCTTTAATAACCTTTCCCTTACACACTGTGTTTTTAAAGTTCCTAATGACCACACAAATAAAAATGTGGGTGAAAAGTTCAGCATCTAAAGGGAGAAGGAAATAACCAGTTTCTTTTTTCCACAGGTCCCTGGGTGTGACACTTTGGGAACTTTTTGATAATGCTGCTCAGCCTTATTCCAGCCTCTCCAACTTAGATGTTCTCAATCACGTCATTCGAGAAAGAGACACAAAACTCCCTAAGCCCCAGCTGGCGCAGCCTTATTCCGATAGATGGTTGGTAACTTCCTGTTTTGTTTTGTTACCTTCGAAAGATAAGGAAATCCTGTTTCCATGGCTGTTAGTTATATAGTCCCTATTTTAAAAACAATAGGTGTTATAAAAAGCAATTATTTGTATATATTATTCATGACTGATTTTAGAATTAACATCTATTTTTAAAATTTAATGTTATTTTTGAAAAATGTATACAACTAGCAGGAATTTATATATTACACACAGTAAGAAAAAAATGTGAAGCTAAATAATTAGAAAAGTCAACAGTAAGGGCTTTTGTTATTGTGGTTGGAATTGTTTTTTAATGAAAATGTGTATATAACTGGTATTTAGTATGTGAGAAAAGAGTTAGCTTAGAAATGATAATATTTAAATTGGCAGTTGGAAATAATTTGCATAATGTTTTTGCAAAACAAATTTACTTCTTATGAATGTTCAGACCGGTTCTTACTTCATTTCCAATTAGGATCAGGTTCACCTCTCTTTAGGCCTCTGTCTGCATCCTTTCGTGCCCGGCTGGCATTGCCCCTGAAGATTGGCACCCCTGCACGTAGGCAGTGCCCAGCTCCCCAGGTTGCTAGAACCATCTCACCGAGGATAACTGGACATATACACTGTAAATTTAATACTTTGGCGTTGTCTTTGTCTCCCCTTTTTCCCGTGGCTACAGTTTAAGATGTTGGCCATATTCAGCCAACCCTTGGAAGACCCAGCTCCTGGTTGCTGCCTTGTTTGGGCTTCATTCTCCTCTCATTTCCCTTGTACGATCTCAGGAAACGGTGTGCTGTGGACGAGTGTACTGCTACTGTTTATCAGGGGAGTAGTGAGAGATTAGATCCAACGGCCTTTGTCTGTGTGAATTCTCGCAAAACAAAGCGAGTGAATCTAAAATGTTAAGACACGCACATTCTTTACTACACAGAATTCCTGTGGCAAGTGTTTTAAGAGGAGAACATGTTAAAATTGTTTCTAAATTCAGTGGATGGTCTGTATAAACACCAGAGGAACAGTTGACGAGGCAAAAGAATTGCAGTGATACTGTGAAATGTCCTGAGAACACAAAAAATAGTGGGCAAAATGTTCCATTTCTTCATTTCCTCTTTCACCGCAAAATCAACATGAATTGAACACCTTCAGTTGGTGGTCGGCGGTGATTAAAGTATAGAAACTTCTGAGGTGTTGAGTTGGCGTAGGGGTCCTTGTAAAGCCTTTTCTTATTTTAAAACAATTTATTATCAGTCCATTAATTAGCTCTCATGTGTCATTCAGGTATGAAGTTTTACAGTTCTGCTGGCTGTCACCAGACAGGAGACCAGCGGCCGAGGACGTGCATAGACTGCTCACCTACCTGCGGATGCAAAGCCAAAGGGACTCGGAAGTCGACTTTGAGCAACAGTGGAATGCTCTTAAACCAAATACTAACAGCAGAGACACTTCCAACAACGCTGCATTCCCAATTCTTGACCATTTTACCAGGGATCGGCTTGGCCGAGAAATGGAGGAAGTCCTCACGGTGACTGAAACCAGCCAGGGCCTGAGCTTCGAGTATGTCTGGGAGGCAGCGAAGCACGATCACTTTGACGAGCGCAGCCGGGGCCCCCCGGACGAAGCCTTGTCCTACACGAGCATCTTCTTTCCAGTTGAAGTGTTCGAGAGTTCACTTTCGGATCCCGGGCCCGGGAAACAAGATGACAGTGGCCAGGATGTCCCCGTGAGAGCCCCCGGAGTGGTCCCCGTCTTTGATGCCCACAACCTTTCTGTCGGAAGCGACTATTACATCCAGTTAGAAGAGAAAAGTGGGAGCAACTTGGAGCTTGATTACCCCCCCGCTCTGCTTACAACTGAAATGGAGAGCCCAGAAAGGACACGTGGTGAGGCGCCCCAGTTTCTGACACTCAGACATCTTGAATTTGAGGAGTCCAGCACAGATGAGGATTTCTTCCAAAGCAGCACAGACCCCAAAGATCCCAGCATACCTGAGGATGTGCATGTCGCCAGGGGCCCCGAGAGCCCTTTCAACAACATATTTAGTGATTGTGACAAGTCGGAGGATTTGCCCAGTCACCAAAAAATATTTGACTTAATGGAACTAAACGGAGTTCAAGCTGACTTTAAGCCAGCCACTTTAAGTTCAAGTTCGGATGACCCCAAAGAGTCAGGAATAACATGCCACTTGGAGAAAGAAAAGCCCCGGAAGCTTTTTGACTGTGAACCTCTTTGCTTAGCAGAAAACCTTATGCACCCAGATAATGTTGGTCCAGTGAATGTTCAAGAATTGTCAGAAAACTTTTTATTTCTTCAAGAGAAGAACTTACTAAAAGACTCCTTGTCTAGCAAAGAACACATAAATAGTCTTCAAGCAGAACTTAAAAATGCTGGCTTTCCTGAAACTATCTTAGAAACACCACTTGGAAACGCTTTAGATACTGAACTCCAGTTTGCTGACAATAAAACAGGCTTTTCTTTGTTGCAGGAAAACTTCAGCATGAAGGGTAAAGACACAGGTGAGCTCCCGGACACTCTGAACAGCTCGCTGTCACCTTCCCCGGAAGTGCAGGTACCGCCTACCTCACTCGAAACAGAAGGAGCGCCTCATAATGTACCTCCAGATACGCTCCCGAAGCAGGGAGAAACCACACCCATGTGTGTAGATGTCAGTATCCATGACGACGGTCTCTGCCAAGAAACAAATCCAGATTCTGTGACTGTCCCAGTTGAAATTCCCTCGCCTGATGCCAAAACACACAACACTGGCCACGGGTCCCATGAACTAACTCACCAAAATGAGGCGGCCTTGAGACTGGCCCAGAGCGACTCAGTTCTGGTCGGTGACATTTTTGCCAGTGAAGTGAGCATAGGGAGCAGTCCTTCAGAGCTGAGACAGGACCCAGAAAATCTGCCGCCTTCAGCGGACCGTCCCAGGAGTAGTCTGCCGCAAAACAACTCGGAGGCCGTGGAGACTTGGAATCAGCTGAACGGTAACGAGGCCACAGAACAGGTGGGCTTGGCATCCGCCCTTTCCTCAGACTCCACCAGTCAAGACAGCCTGTTAGAGGACAGCTTGTCAACGCCCATTCCAACCTCAGAACAGTCAGTGGAGACTCCAGACTCTCTGGATTCCGTGGATGTCCACGAAGTCTTGTTGGATTCTGTAGGCTCTCACACCCCCCCGAAACTCTTGCCCCCCGATAAGCCTGCAGACAGTGGCTATGAGACAGAGAACTTGGAGTCCCCTGAGTGGACTCTGCACCCTGCTCCCGACAGCGCCTCAGCCCCTGATGTGGCCGCAGCAGGTGATAGTGGTCATGGTGGGCTGCCTCCCAACCCCGTCATCGTCATCTCAGACGCAGCTGATGGCCACAGAGGTACCGAAGTGTCCTCACAGACTTCTGCGCCTGGCTCCCAGAGCTCATACCGAGACTCTGCTTACTTCTCAGACAATGATTCTGAACCTGATAAGAAGTCGGAGGGGGTCCCAGGAACCTCCATGTCTGCCTTGACCTTGGTAATGGATCAGCCCCTGCCTCAGCCAGTCATCCCAGAGCAAAGTCCTGGCACCAAGGACAGTTGCCTGGAAACCAAAACTAGCCAGCCAGACCAAAGTTGTCTATCTGCTTTGCCAAATTCCAGTCTCCTAGAATCAAGAGAAACATCAGAACCAGCACTGACAGACGTCCCCGGAGAGCTACATCCTCCTGAAGACGAGGCTGGCAGTCCCTCGAGTTTGTTGAACTCAGAGCTGAGCAGCGGTGATGACTTCGAGGCCCAAGAAGAGCACCCCTGCTCGATTGCGTCCACCGGGACCAACACCAACGAGCTCCTTGCGTTTGCCAAGTCCACCCTTCTCCCCGGCAGCCCGCCGGCCCTGCCGGTGGACAAGCCCTTCTCCAGCCACTCGGAGGGCCCCAAGCTGAAGGAGCCAGATATTGAAGGGAAGTACCTGGGGAAACTAGGTGTGTCGGGGATGCTTGACCTCTCCGAGGATGGGATTGACGCGGACGAGGAAGATGAGAACAGTGACGACTCGGACGAGGACCTGCGGGCGTTCAACCTGCACAGCCTTAGCTCCGAGTCAGAGGACGAGGTCGAGCACCCTGTCCCCGTGATCCTCAGCAACGAGGACGGACGGCCCCTGCGGAGCCTGTTGAAGCCGCCGGCCTCTGATACCATCGACCAGCTCCCGGATGACTGGAGAAAAGAAAAGAAGGCGGTGACATTCTTTGATGATGTCACAGTCTATCTGTTTGACCAGGTATCTGTTACCTCCCAGTTGTCATGTTAGAGAATTCCAAAATGTGGTCAGAAATGGAATGTGCTCTATTGTCCTGATTCCCATTTTGAGGCCACAGATTGCTTTATGATTACTCAAAAAAAGGAGTCGGGTTGGTTGCAGTTACAGTTCCAAGAATATGCAGAAATGTAGTTTGCTCAGGGAACTCATGTCAGATTAAGGGAAGGAGGCCTGGACGCTCTTCCTGGGTCGCCTGGCAGAATCCTACGGAAATGGCTCACCCATTCCAGACCAGATTGTCATCTGACGATCGGCAGTGACACCAGCACGCCAGGTGCAAGCTGGAACAGATCGACCGGTGCCTGTGGGGCGGCGACCGGGTCTGTGGCCCTCCTGCCCTCCTCCCCGCTGTGGGGCAGGCAGCCTGCTGTGCCCCGGTAGTGGGCTAGACTTCACCTTCTTTAAAAATGAAACAGCCTACAATTCAAGCATTTTTTTAAAGAAGATACTCTTTGTTGAGTAGTCTCTGTAGCCCTTGAATTTGCTTCTTGAATCAGCTTGATTGTAGATAGAGCTCAGTCACAGACGCACCTGAGCGGGATCCCTTTATGTTCTAGGAGGTGGGGGAGCTGCTGGCCCTCGTCCTAAAGCTGCCCGCCCCCCACTTTGTATCCATCCTCAGAACACAGATTGCCTTAGCCTCTCGTCAACATAGTGTCTCTTGGGCCCTCCTCTTCAGACTAGTTTTGTCTTTTCAAAAGTGTTGTATAAATGGACTCATACATGATATAACCTTTTGAGGCTGGCTTTTTTCTTTCAGCATAGAATTCCTCTGAGATCCATCCAATTGCACGTATCAATAGTTCCTTTTCTATTGCTGAAGCAGTGTTCCCCGGGATGGAGGTACCAGGCTGTTTCACCATCTCCGCTAAAGGAGTTTGGTTTCTCCACTTTGGGGCTCTGACAGATAAAGCTCCTTCGAACAATTGTGCACAAGTTTTTGTGTGGACACAATTTTTTTTCTGGGATAAATGCACAGGAGTGTGATTGCTAGGTTGTATGGTAGGTGTATGTTTAGTTTTTTGAGAAAATAAACTGTTTCCACAGTGGCTATACCATTGTACATTCTAACCCGCAATGTATGAGAGTCAGTTTCTCTTTATCTTTGCCAGTACTTGGTGGTGTCATTATTTTTTATTTTAGCTTTTCCAGTAGGTGTGAAGTGCTATCTGATAGTGGTCTTAAATTGCATTTCCCTGTCGACTGGTGATGTTGCTTGCCTTTTCCTGGGCTTGTTTATTTCATGTGCTTATTTGCTACTTGTATGTCCTATGCAGTGAAATGTCTCTTCTTTTGCCCGTTTTTCAGTTGGATTCTCTCTGACTTTTGAGTTTTGAGAGTTGTTTATAATTCTAGATATGAGCCCTTCGTCAGTTATACGGTTTGTAAATATTTCTCCCAGTTTGTATGTTGTCTTTCACATAGCAAAAGTTTAAAATTTTGATGGATTACAATTTATTGATTTTTCTTTTATGGATCATATTTTTGATGTCGTGTTTAAGAACTCTTCACCAAGCCCTGTATCCCAAATCTTTTCTCTAAAAGTTTTATGTTTTTCATTTAGATCTATTATATTTTGAGTTAATTTTTGTGTAAGGTTTAGGTTGGGGTTCATTATTTTGTGTTTGGATGTATAGCCAGTTGTTCCAGTACCGTGTATTGAAAAAATATCCTCTCTCATTGAATTGCCTTTGAACCTTTGTCAAAAATTAAATGGCCATATTTGTATGGGTCTATTTCTGCACTTTTTCTTCGTTCTACTCATCTGTGTACTTACCCCTTGGCTAATACCTCACTCTTATGATCAGCTCTTAAAATCGGAGAGAGTGATTCCTCTGTCATTTTTCTTCCTTTTCAAATTGTTTTGGCTTTTGTAGTTCCTTTTTTTTTTAAGGAGGATACAGCTCACAGTGGCCCATGCGGGGATCGAACCAGCAACCTTGGTGTTATTAGCACCACGTTCTATACAACTGAGCTAACTGGTCACCTCGTTCCTTTAATTTTCAGTGTAACTTTTAGAAATCAGTTGCGTATATCTAAAAAAAAAAAGTCTATTGGGATTTTTTATGGCAATTGCATAAAATCTATAGCTCAGTTTGGGGAGAATGGACATTTTTACTATGTTGAGTCCCATTTCATGCACATAGTATGTCTCCATCTGTTTATTTCTTCTTGGTGTTTTGTCATTTTCAGCATACAGCTCCTCCACGTGTTTTTTTAGATTTACACCTAAGTATTTCATTCTTGAGGAGCTGTTGTAAAAGGTAATTTTTAAATTTTGGTTTCCATTTGTTGCTTGCCAGTATACAGAAATGTGATGAATTTTTGTGTGTTGACTTTGTATCCTGCTATACTCACCTGTTAGTTCTAGGAGGTTTTTTGTTGTTGTCCCTTTAAACTCCGTATGGCTTTCTACACAGTCAATCATATTGTCTGCAAATAGGGACAGGTTTATTTCTTCCTTTCCAATCCGGATGCCTCTTATTTCTTTTTCTTACCTTACTGCACTAGCTAGGACTTCTGGTACAATGTTGAATAGGAGTGATGAGACCAGACAGCCTGGCTTTGAACCCGATCTTAGGAGAAAAACAGTCAGTCTTTGATCATTGATTAGGATGTAGGTTTTTTGTAGATGGTATTTATCAAGTTACAAGTTCTCTTCTAATGTTAGTTGGAGAGGTTTATATCCTAAAGGAATGTTGAATTCTGTCAAATGGATTTTGTCTGTCCATCAAGTGATAGGAACATGTGGTTCTTCTGTTTATATGTTAATATGATAGATTACATTGATTGGTTATCAAATATGGAATCAGCCTTGCCTTCCTGGAATAAAGCCCCCTTGGTTGTGAGGATTTTAGTATTTATGTTCCTGACGGTTATTGGTAGTCTGGGGGATGTTTATTTGCTTATTTGGCTAATGGGGGTTGTTTGTTTGGGTGCCGTCGTTGGTTTTGGTACCAAGGTAATGCTGGTCTCATAAAATAAGTTGGGAAGTATTTTCTCTTTCTGGAAAAGATGGTGTGGATTTCTTTGAAGAACGACTTTTGGTTTATGGAGTGTTTTTTCTAATTTTATTGATTTCTGCTTTATTATTCTCTTCCTTCTGCTTGCTTTGGATTTATTTTACTCTTTTTCTAGACTTTTAAGGGAGATGCTTAGGATTTAAGACCTTTTTTTCTAAATTAGCATTTAATGCTATAAATTTCTCTCTATGTACTACTTTAGTTGCATCCCACAAATTTAATATGTTGTATTTTTATTCAGTTTAAAATATTTTCTCATTTTCCTCAAGACTTACCCTTTGACCCATGGATTATTATAAACATATTAATTTTCCATCTTTCTGTGGGTTGGGGCTCCACTTTCAAAGCCCTTGCTGTATTGTTTGAGCTCAGCACAGCCAAAATCTAAAGTGGACACTGGTGTGGCGAGAGAAAGCTCCAGAAGCTCTTTGGTTCTGATTCTAGAAGTAACAGGAAGGGGTCTTTTGACATTCAGAGAGAAGGGAAGAAATTGCTCCCTCATCCCCCCTTTTTCTCTGTTCTCTTGCTCCCAGTCCCAAGCAGCCATCCCAGGGTGGCAGCAGCAGGGGTGGCAGCCGCCTGTAAGTGTGAAGGAGGTGAGCGTCCCCGCCACCTGGAGGAGCTGGACCCCAAGGTCCAGTCTGTCCAGTGGGTGGCACACGTACAGGCCAGGAGCTGTGGAGCGAGGGGTGGGGGTGGGGGTGTAAAATGCCCTGCTGCTTTGGCATCTGAATCCCAGCATCCTTCCCCAACCCGCCGGCCCCTGTTTACTTCTCAGAGGCCTCAAGTAGCCGCTTGAAGCATTCTGCCCGTGGGAGAGACAGGGCTGTGTGTCCCTCCCCACCCCTCCCAGGAGCCACCTGCTTTCAGGTGAACATTTTACAGCCAGTCAGTCAGACGCGCTGCCGGCCTGTGAAGCGTACACCTGTGGGCCCCGTGAGCAGGAGTTGCTGACAGGAATTTCTGTTTGGCTTTTCAGGAGACCCCAACCAAAGAGCTGGGCCACTGTGGGGGAGAAGCTCATGGCCCCGAGCTGAGCAGCCCAGCACCGGCGTCAGGCTCCCCTTACCTGAGCAGGTGTATAAATTCCGAAAGTTCAACTGATGAAGAAGGTATTGCACTTCCTTGACAGGTTTCAAAAGAGTGCATTGTGATCATGTAAACACTTCTGAGGGTAACTTCACATATGTGTTAATGGCCCCCTTGTGACACGGGGAGCAGCTCTGGCATCTGTGGGGCCGAGTTGGTGTTTGCTGATCTGCTGGGCACACCTCTGTGTTTGTATTCTCCTCTGTTTATCATGAAATGATAAAAGGAGAATTCTTTTTTAATTTGTACTTGTAGGTGGAGGCTTTGAATGGGATGATGACTTCTCCCCAGACCCTTTTACATCAAAGACAACGAGTAACCTTCTTAGTTCCAAGCCTTCCCTGCAAACATCAAAGTACTTTTCTCCCCCGCCCCCGGCCCGGAGTGCAGAGCAGAGCTGGCCCCACACGTCCCCCTACTCCAGGTTCTCCATCTCTCCTGCCAACATCGCCAGCTTTTCTCTCACACACCTCACGGACTCGGACATGGAGCAAGGAGGTGAGAGGATGGGGCGCACTGGGTGGGACAGCCTGGGAGGCCTTCCCCGCTGGCCCGACGCGTGGTAATTGGACGCTTTCCTGGTATTTGCTGAGTAAGTTCGAAAAACCTCTGTGAAGCCCTCCCAGTCTTGGCAGTGTGCTCTGGGGGGCCACGCCCTGCCCTCCTAGGCCTGCCACTCCACAGTACTCCTCGTGGTGTCCCCTCTGGGCCCCTGCTGGGCCGGCAGCCCGTGGCCGGGGCAGAGCAGCAGCGAGCAGAACTTGTCCCAGTATGTGTGTCCCCTTACCTTCCCCCCTTGCCCTTTCGCTACGAGCCACCCGGCCCCCACTCCACCTCTTGCTCCCACAGAGAAGCCGCGCTTCAGGCAGCATAGGCTCCCAAGAACACTTGGCCCTGGCCTCGGGATGGAGCCCAAACGTGCTCTGGCTTTTCTGGGGATGTTGATTTTGCAATTAAGTCTTGGTCTCCTGTGATAACGGAAGGCCTGGGTGGGAAGCCAATGGCAGGGCACATTTGAAGTCGCATTATCTGAACATATGGATCCTTTCTTCCCCTTAACCAGATTGGGAGATAAATGTTAATAGGCACCTTTTTTGATTAGAAGTTTGCAGATCAAATAATACCTGGGAGATATGAAGAGCTTTTGTTTGTGTTTGTGCTGTGCTTAATTGTGCCGATTAGATAGCGCCTGTGAGCTAACGACCTGTCAGGGCAGCAGATGTGTGGAGATCAGAGCCGATTTGCCCCTGTTCCCTAAGCGTTGACATTGAACCAGCGTGTGAGCCCAGCAGATGTATTTGCGAGTCTGGCAGGAAGAAAACGGGGGGGCTGGGCAGGTGCTGGCCATACACCTAGTTTCAGTTCCTTTTTCTGCAGTGCAGATCAGATGCCATCCACACTATTTTTATCTGTGATGATCATGTTAAAAACCCAGCTTTGCTTGCTCTCTCCCAAATAGGAAGCAGCGAAGATGGAGAGAAAGATTAGCGGCTGCTGATGTACTCGATCCCAGGCTGCTTCCCCAGGCCGGTCCTGTGCTGCCGGCTGAGCAGTGCCATCCACTCGACGTCTGCTGAGATGGGACAGGGAGAGAGACTCGGGCGGAAAGGGAGCTGGCGCCGGGCTCCGTGGGGCTCTGTGCCGGTGCCCACGGCAGGAAACCCGGCTGGGGAGGCGTGGTCCCGTCCAGCTGTTTGCTGCCCCATGGCCGCCCTCACCTACCAGAAACATTGGCGCTTGGGCAGCACAGCCCTGCTCCAGTGCGTGGAGAACTGTGGGCTCCTGGTTGTCTCTGTTTCCATGCAGGGTGTTCCTGTCCACACCTGTGCATCCCATCTGTGCACAGGGGCCCAGAGGGTGCACGGTGGGAACTGGCACCAGTGAGCCGTATTTATTATTTTTTTAAAAATCACTAATTGCTTTCTGTAATTGCACTGTGGATAAATGTTCTAAGATGTTCTGATATTGTACAGAATCTTAAATTATTCAAGGAAAATAAGGCAGGTCAAGCTGGTGCTATCCACTAGTTTGATTATTTTTCTGTTTTATAGTTTGTTTGCTCTGCATGGTACTTGTAAAGCTTAAATATTTTGAGTGTTATGCCGTCCTTAGAATTGCTGGAACTGTACATATGGTACTTTTTCGTAAATGATAAATGATTCTGAATGTTAGTGTTTTATGTCCTTATAGGAAATATTTTTGAAGACTCCAAAAAGGCTGCTCTGTTTCGTTGGTTGACTGAACCCCATTGAGTCTCTTCTCTGAGGCGGTCCCGTGTAGCAGATGAGGCTTCTCTGAGGCGCTGGAGGGCCTTGCAGCCCCTCCATGTGATTCTCCCACTCCCACCCCCGATTTTAAAACCCTTTTGGGAAAACCCTTTTTCGTGCACCCCAGAACTCAGCTGCAGGTTAGAACGTGCAGGTCCCCTGGCCCGGGGAGCTGAGCGTGGCCCTACAAGTACTTCCCCTCCAAGCTGGCTTCTACTGCTTGGGTTTTAGAAGCACAGGCTGCCATGGCTTTAGTGTCCTTGGAACCCCTTCATTCTGGAAGGGGCAGCACCCCGAGGGAGAAGCTGCTTGGGGGGCTGTGGCAGCAGAGAGCAGTTGGAATTCATTCTGTTTGTAGAAGCTCAGCCCCGGTGTTCAGCTTTTACTAACCTCCAGAGCTGAGTTTTCCCCTCAGAGCCACTGCAAGTCGTGTCATGTCCAGGCATGGCTGGTCTCTGTAGCCCAGCAGATCCACTACATCCTGCAGCTGTGAGAAGGGACAAGGGACAGCGGCAGAGCCTCCGCAGCCGCATGTCCTCCTGGGCAGGACCATTCCGCAGCCCTGTGTGGCCGTCAGACCCAGACAGCACTCCCGGGCATGTCACACTGGCCCTGCCCTTCTGCCTTCAGCACCAAGCTCTCCCCTCGCTGTGAAAGGGACCCAGCGTGTCCGCTGCAACCTCATAATGTTGGTGACCTCACTCTGCAGCTCTTGAGTCTGCTCTGACATCGGGAAGTTTCCGGGGGCTGGAGCAGCATAGCAGTGCTGTTCTGAGGGAGGCTCGGCCTGTCGGCCATGAAGACGCAGGCTGGCTCTTCACCCCACTGTTCTCCGGTGCTGATACGCTTTCCCGACTCCAGCGGAAGGTAACGCCAGGATGACTCTCCGGGCCCAGGTAGTCCCAGGAACTCGGGGCCTAGTGCAAGATGCACATGTGTATACTGGCTAGTTTCCCTAGTAAATGATGACCTTTACTATCAATTCTGGTTCACGCCACTAACTTTCTATACGCGCAATAACAGCCAGAGCAAGGAAGTCCAGAATGACGAAAGGGGCCCCTTTCCCCTCCACTGGGCGTGAGTGTGGAGCACCGTCCGGGAAGCTGGACCCGGTGGTGTGCACATTGAAAAAAGTTAACAGGGCATTAGAAGGTGATTTTTGCCAAAACCATCAAACTCTGAATTTCTTGTTATGGAGACTTCCTGAGCTTTCTAAATTTTTACATCTACCATCGAGGTTTGGAGAGAATTGAGGCGATTATACTAGTTTTTTCAAATTAATAGGTTTAAGGAGTTCAGATTTAATGACTAAAATCAAGCAGATCCACAGAACATATAGTCTTTTGCAGTCAGCCCAGGATAAATTTGATGTTTTGGGGCTGTACATTTTTCACTATGATTAAGGCGATTTTAACAACATAATTCCCATTTTAATTTATTTTAAGTCTATATCACTCTCAATTAATTGCCAAAAAAAGCATTTTATACATTGATTTGGGGGTGGGTTGGAGTAGTAGATTTCACTGGAGGGGGGGTTGCATGGTAGGGAAGATTTTATATTTATAATAAACGTGAGTTAACGTTCTTTTGAAATCTTAAGCAATACACAGGAAATAAATTATGTACATTAAAATTTTCAGCCCATTTTTGAAATGTCAGCATGTGCTTTGTTGTCTCAGTTTTTTTTAACTCGGTTGGTTACCAGTAGTGGGTTTTCAAACCGTACTTGCTCTAGTAAGTTACACAGTGAACTGAGTCAGTGGTTCTCTAGGTGATAGGGGCGAGGCTTGTGACATCTCGCTCACTGTCATGTTTCCACGCCTCCCTCGGAGCCTATGAGGTTTTACTTAGTTTTACTCTGGTGGAATTTATGTATTTTAAATCCTATAATAAAAATAATCTAACCTTCATTTCCTTCCTAGCTAGATGCTAATTTGTGTTACCAACTGACTCGCTTGTAACTCAGAAAGAGAAATGTAGAAAAAGCGTTCCCCGTATCTTTCTGAAACGGACTGTGTGTGGGTAAGAAGCCATTCATCTGAAGGGCGAAGAAGCTCAACGAAGCTGAACTGAAAACAGACTTTCATTCTGTTTTTAAATGTACCTGTGATTGTTTCTATAGAAATGGGTTTATCTAAGAAAAGTCTTTGTATGTCTTGCTGCCATATAACGCCTTTCAAATGGAAACCTCTTCCTCTTAGTGGTATTTCCATAGGGTATTTGTAGGGTTCATGACTTAACTGCATGTCTGTCCTGAGGGCCCAGGTGTAAGGGAGGCAGCTAATAGTTTTACTCCACTCAGCCCTTAATTTTAATCTGAAAATTCCAGAAGTGAACCACGGGTTAGGCTCCAAGTGTTGGGCTTCAATTACAGGGGCTTCAAGATACCAGCCTTATGAGAAGCAGCCTTAAAATAAGAATGGCTGTACAGAATTACTTCAGATTTCAATCTCAAAAACGATATTCCGGAGTAGTGATTGGAGTTGGCTCAAGTTTTGACGATTAAAGAAAATCCTCTTTAGTATATAGATAAATTCTTAAAGGTGTGTTGACAGTGTTGAATTCCCAACAACCTGTTATTTGAGTGGCTTGAACATGTCTGCTGTTCAAGCTCGCACAGACCTAGGTAGGTCTTAACAGTGGATGGGTGTCCGTGTCCACTGTTAACCCCGTCTGCAGATGAGGACAAGGGGCAGTCATACCTGTGAGGTTTCCCTGTTGTGCTTTAACACAGCCGCAAGAGGTTCACGGCAATATAACAGTTAATGAACTTTCATTTAAATTGTGTACATTTTTAAATTGTAAGATTTTTACTGTATATTGATGCATAGTGTGATTCAATAAATTGCTTGTAATTTAAAAACTATTTAATATTCAAATAAACATAGTTATATATTTATAAACTGTTGCTGCGTTTATTCCGTGTTTTTCCCACTGTGCAAGGCCCAGGGTGCGGGAGGGGGAGCGGCCTGGCACTGCCTTGCTGTGGTCACTGGCATCCTGCAGCCCTGGGTCACTCACTGCCCTGGTTTCTGGCTACCTGCTGCCCTTTTCTATGACAAACCTAATTCCCCATGCTCCTGAGAACACAAAGATTGTAGAATCACTGGAAAAGCAAACTTTTAAGTAGGGTTTGTGCTGCCTTAAAGCGCGTCTATAATCCGAAGCCTTTCCACTTGAATTTCAGAAGCATTTTAATTTCTGAGGTCCAGCATCAAATGAGCTCTAAGCCAAAAGGCTAGTCCACCCGAAACCAGCCTTTCTATGCCCCCATCTTCCTGTCCTTGCTCTCCCGGTCCCAGCTGCCAAGAGCACAGTAACAGGCTCCTCCCAAAACTGACTCCTGGCCCTAACTTGGGTTACACCAACTCCTGTGTGACCCTCAGGGAGTAGATGGAGCCCTGTGAAGCCCCCCTTCAGAGACGCCCCAAACAGGCAGCGAGTGACAGTCCCAGAGAAGGGCGAGGACAGCGCTGACCATGGTCCTGCGGGACACAAGAGGGTGGGAGCCCAGACCAGTGAGCGAACGACGGCGGCGGAGGCCTCACTGCACTCCAGGGGCGTCCTATCAGCCCCCGAGTCCCCTGAACCAGATGGTGTTTTTAACATCTTTTAATGCGCCTGCAGGTGAGGAAACTGAGGCAGGGTGCGATGAAGGTAGGCACGTGGGTGGCAGAGCCGGGTTTGAGCCCAGGCTGTCTGCCTGCCGCCCCTGGACTTAACACCAGTTATTTCCTGGTGATCTGCACGCAGGCGGCCGCCCAGGTGCTTCGCGGGGTAGGGCTCCGCCCACTCGCACCTGGACCGGCGCCAGCGGCGTGGGGGCGGGTCCCAGAGCCGGGTCCGCCAGAACATGGGCTACTGCTGTTCAGAGATGTGGCCGCTGCCCGTTTAAGAAGCTAGTAGTATTGCAAAACGGCTATTTCCCGAATTCATCCTCGTGTTCTGAGCCTTAACCCCAGGTCAGGTGCGGCAGCCAGTTGCGGTCCCGGGGCTTCCCCTCGGCGCCACTGGGCTCGCAGAGAGGCCTCAGGCTCCCAATCCGCGGCGTGGGGTCCGCGGGGCTGGAAGCGCTGGGCGGCCGCCAGCTCCCAGGTTTGCTCTGCCTCCCTGCCTGCCGCAAGGCAGGGGACTTGCGGTCACCGGCCCCTCCCTGGCCCCGCCCCGCAGGTTCATTTACATGTGGCCTGGCCCCGCCCGGGGCGGCTAAAGCGACGTGTCCTTGTCCCCCGTGGGCAGCACTGGCGCGTGCGGCCGCGGATCCCCAGGTAATGCGGTAGGGGTCGGGCGGGGGGAGTCGCGGGGCGAGGACTCAGGGGCAGCAGCAGGTGGGGCCTGGGGAGAGACCTGGACGGGGGCTCTGGGCCTGGAGCCCTGTCTGGATCCATCCGCGAGGTAGCCTGGGGCTACTGCAGGCTCTGGCCACGGCCGACCTCTGACCCCTGACTGTTGCCCACAGCAGTTCTGGCCCCAGTGTTGTCCCTGCATTTGTGACATCCAGCGGGGCAGGACTGTCAATGTTGTGGCCAGTCCACCCTGGCAAACAGGAGGCAGCACAGTCTCAGGCAGAGGTGCCGCCCTGAGCTAGGATGGGGCTGCTTCTCTGGGGGGTTCTGAGCAACGTGTCAAAGGCCACCTAAGTTCAGGAGGCACTGGGGGGCAGTGAGGGGCGTGAGGCCCAATAAAATTCCGGGGTCAGTACGCCTCCCCCAGGCCATCAGATCAGGGAAGGGTTTGGGGGTCAGCATCAGGTCAAACAGGGGCATGGGGTGTGTGTGGGGGGGGGAGCTCAGGTCTCCGTGTGTCAATGGGAAGGCCCTGGGGTCGCTGTGCACCAAGTGGTCAGCTGCCATTGGGCAGTGAGGAGGCTGCCCTGAGGGTCCACTGGCCGTCCTAAGTGTCCACCGGCCTGCCGAGTGACCACGGGGTCGCCTGTGTTCTGGATTTCAGCTCCAAGGGCCTCCCCTCAGAGCCGCCACCCCCCTGGGACAACCAATCTGGAGCCATGAAGACCAAAAACCGGCCCTCTAGGCGCCGGGTGCCTCCGCAGAACACAGAGGCCACCCCAGGGGAGCCGACCTCGGACAGGCCCCAGCCAGGCTCCGGGCCCCAGCTGGCTAAGGGTCTGCGGAGCAGGACAGCGCGGGCGCAGGGCGCGCGGGTGGAAAGCGGGCGCAAGCGGTTGGGGCCGGCGGGGCCCAGTGGCCGACGCGAGAGCAGCATCCAGCGGCGGCTGGAGAGCAACGAGCGAGAGCGGCAGCGAATGCACACGTTGAACAACGCCTTCCAGGCGCTGCGCGAGGTCATCCCGCACGTGCGCGCCGACAAGAAGCTCTCCAAGATCGAGACCCTCACGCTGGCCAAGAACTACATCAAGTCGCTGACAGCCACCATCCTGACCATGTCCAGCGGTCGCCTCCCGGGACTGGACGGCCCGGGCCCCAAGCTCTACCAGCACTATCAGCAGCAGCAGTCAACCGGGGGCGCACTCGGTGTTACCGAGGCCCAGCCCGAGGGCCACCTGCAGAAGTACTCCACGCAGATTCACAGCTTCCGAGAGGGCTCCTAGCGCCCAGGCCCTGGTCCCACCAAAAGCCCCCGACTGGTGGTGACACCCCACGTGGACCTGGCCCCAGCAGCTCCATTTTCACAGAACACTCAGCTGCCTTTTTGGAGCATGTCCTGGCCCCCAGGGGACAAGACCCGGTCAAGGCCATGGCCTTGGGTGGCATGAAGCCCAAACCTCCGTGTAGGTCCCAGCACCTGCGTTTAAACTGACCAGGCAGGAATTGACAGGCTTTCTGACTGAATTCTCTTCACTCCAATCTCCCTCCTGAGGCAAGGGAGATTCCAGGAAAAGATTTACTTGGTAAGTTTCCCCACTTAGTGCTGAGGCCCAGGCCCAGGAAGGGACCTCCTCCAACCTGCATGAGAGCCTCCTCCTTCGGGTAAACTGAGGCACAGCCCCTTGGGGAGTGTGGCTGAGCCCAGATGGTTGAAGCGTCTAGTTCCGAATCTCTCTGTCAGCTGGAAACCCTAGTCAGATTACCTCAAATTAATTCTAAAGAGACTGTGGTGGGAAGAGGGGCTAGGATCTGTTCCTCCCTCCTCCCGTGTGGCGGCTCCTGACCACAGAGGGTCTGAGCAGGGTCGGAGGGTCTGTGACCTGGTGCTGAGGCGGCTGGAGACAGGACTGGGCCTGTGGGGGGAGAGAAGCCGGTAGGTCCTGGGTCCCCTGCCTGCCCGTCCCTGGTCTCCGGGGGGAGGGGCCCACCAGGTTTGCTGCCCATTGTTGTATTTGTCGCTGACGGGGGTGGTCTGACAGGACTTTAAGGTGCTGTTGGGTCCCGGTTGCGGGGCCTGCAGGGCTCTCTGCATGGGGGAGTCTGGGGTGGCCAGCGCTCCCCTCCCCCACCTGGTGCCTCTCCACAGAGGCAGGACTGGGCAGCCTCGCAGGTTCCTACAGCCTCGGGCCAAGCTTCCTTCTGTGGTGTTCCTGTCCCACTGGCTCTGACAGGCTTGGCGACTTTGCTCTTAACCGGCTGGCATCTCCCCTCCCTTGTCCATCTGCCCACAGCCAACATGGGGAGGGCACAGAGCCCTTGGCAGCCTCAGGCAGGAACCGCAGTGACAGGGGTCATGGTGAAGGTAGAGTTGGCTTGGCACGTGGGGCCTGGTCCCCTGTGCCCAGAGCTGTCCCAGAGGTCCTCCTGGGCACTGCGGACAAGGGCCTAGTTGGGCCGGGAGTGGGGCTGGTCCTGCCAGGGGCCTGCCCCTGATGCTCTGCCTCCCTGTCCCAGCCCTGGTAGCCCCAGCCCCAGCCACTTAATGCATTTCTGGGCCGGGTGTCAGCTCTGGCCGTAGAAAGGGCAGTAGGTGGCACCCCGCGGAACAGTCATTAGCCACTTCAGTCCTAGCATGCCTGGTCAGATGCTCGCCGGGCCCTCCATAGGCCCCAGTGCAGGCCTTCTGAAAGGTGGCCCCGGGAGGCCTGGTCTGGTCCGGGCCCCAACCATCCCAGCCATCATTCGCCATGGGGCATGTGGGGACTCCAGGTGCTCCCGGCCTGTCCCTCAGGCCTGGCCACTCTGGAAGGTCAGTGGTCAGGGCAACCCACCAGTGGGAGCCGAGGTGGAGGGCAACTCCAAGCTTGGGACAGGTGGGGTCCATGCGACCCCTGCTGCAGGTGGCTGTCCGGCCAACGGAAACACAAGAGGGGGCCTGCAAACCCGGTGGCTCCAGCTTTGGCCAGAGCAGCGCCCAGTGCATCCCTGAACTTGCCGAGGGAACCAACAGACTGAGCTGGAAGCACAGACTCTGTCCAGGAGACCAGGCCTGATAACTGGGGGCGATGCGAGGACCTGTGGGTTACCACCTTGCAGGACGACAGCTGTCGGACCTCTTTTTCTGTCTCAGACCCACACCTGTACCCCCTCTGCTTCCCAGAGGGTGACCCGGGCTCAGATAGCCAGTCCTTCATCCGAGGCTGGTGGGCATCTGCTTGCCCCGTGGCCACATCACGAAGGATCCTTAAAGATCTCAGTCCTGTGTCAGGGGGTTAAATATGGTGGAGGAGGGGAAGGGAGGGGAGGGGAGGGGAGAACAGGTCTCGTGACAGAGGCTGGTGAGGCCTGCTGCCAGGTCTGCTCCCTCGACCCTCATCTTGGACCCCAAGCCCATCTGGACTCTTCTGTCCTGTGAGGAGTCCTAAAGTCAGAGACCCACAATGCATCCTGAGCCCTGAGTGAGCCGCAAGGTGGCGGTCCATATCAGTCTCCATCGGGCCAGCAGAGAAACCGGAACTGCGGCTTCTCTGTCTGGGAAAACCTCCGTGGGACTGAAACAGCCAGCGAGTGCCTCAGCTGTAATTGTGGTGAAAATGTTTTTTAAATGACCCAAATTTGATTTTATTTTTCCTAATGATCCCTTAAAAGTACTCATGAAACCAATGCTGTGTCACAAAAGGAAAATAAAAGATTTCACAATTGCTACTTTTGTCCCATGCATTGAAGCATGGGGAACTGTGCATTTGAATCATAATGTAGCAAAAAAAAAAAAAAAAAAGTCAAGTCATTTACACTTTACACTCTGGAGTAAGTTTTTATTGAATAAGCATCTGAGGAATAGAGATGGTTCGGTGATGCTGAAACAGTCGGTGCTCAGCAGTGAGGGGACGCAGTCTCCCTGGAGAAAGGGCAGTGAGACCAGCTGCAGACAGAGAGTCACAGCAAAAGGACAGGTCACTGCTGTAGAATAAACCCATAATGCCCATTCGGAGATAACCCAATGAAGGGATGTAAGTAAACACACACGGTCAACCCCACGCGGTCCATCTGGGCCCTGCGCCCAGACTCCTGCCTCCATATCCCACCTGCAAGTGCAGACTGCTGGCTCCCTCAATGCCCCAAGGGAGGGAACCCCAAAGGAGGTACTGACCCTTCCTGTCGGCCAAGGAAGCTCCAGGCAAAGTGCTTGTAGGAAGCAAACTCACCAAATGGGGCATCACTGGGTAAAAAGCAGCCCAGAGGCTGCGTGACAGGAGGGGCCGCCGGCTGAAGGTGCCTTCACAGGCGGAGCTCCTGCCCCAGGGGTTTTTGGTCTCCACCCCTCTGCCGTCTCCCCCGGCAACATGATCAGAAGTAAAAGGAGCCCCCATCCCACAAACGCGTCAGGGGGGGGGGATGGCTGATGGCTGGTGACCAGCGATCTGCACTCCAGCAGCGTCTCCCAGCTGGGGGTGGCCCTTTGGTCCTCCGTCCACCCAGGAGGACCCATGCCCACGTGGGGAAGAAGACACCCCCTCCAGCATTTATTTCCAACCTGCCAACCCCTTCCTTAACTTTTGGAATTAGGCCCTATTTGTGAGTCTTGCTCTGAGACATGATCCCAGTGTGGGCAAGGCAGCCCTGAGCCCCGTGGCCACTTTTATGGTTTGGGATGCCCGGGGCTCAGGAGGCTCCTTTCTGGGCTCTGCTTCCCCAGGGACCAGTGTTCCTGGAAGGTTCCAGGCTCCAGGTTCCTGTCCTGGAAAGGTGGGATGCAGAGGGGAAGGGATGGAAGGGAGAGGTGGGGTGAGGGACCCCCTACCCCAAATGCCGAGCCCCCCTCACTGACGGGACACATGCGGGGAACATCCACACAGCTTCACATTTCTGGGCTGTTTCTGGTGCCTCCAAGGCTGTGACCTCAGGCCAGGTTTCCTCAAGCCACTCTTAGGGTCCACATTTCAGCTACAGCACAAGGCTCATGGACCAACTTCGATCCTTCCAACTGGGCACCAGGTCTGCGTCCAGGTGAGGGAGGTGGCCTCAGCAGCAGACAGGGCCCATGGCCTCCTGCGGGGCACTGGCCACCTGCAAGGGCCCGCTGGGGGGGGCCTGCTCGGCAGCCATCTGTTGGGACGTGTTCCTGGGGGCTCTGGTGGCATTGGCCCGGATAGAGATGTAATCCCAGCCCCCCTGGAAGGAGACAGGCATGTCACCGGGGATGCAGGGGTCCAGGGGTAGAGACCATCCTTCCAGAGGCCCCTGAGGGACCCTGCCTGGGCCTCCCACCAACCCCACGCCAGGTCTCAGCCCATGGGGCCCAAGCACGCAATGTGACCACGGAGCCCCAGCCAGCACAGCCACCCCATCTGCCTGCTCACCCCGATGCCGTAGTCCCAGCCCTGCCCCTTGGGCTCCAGGGGCTGCACGCCTGTTCGGTGACACACGGTTCCCCTGCTGAGACTGCGGCTCCCCTGGACTTTGTTGGCGATGACCCAGACCTGGAACACAGACCCGCTTGGTGGCACCATGGGGACGGCAGCAGGGTGACCAGAGTGGGAACCTAGAGGCCCCCAGTCCCTGACCCCAGAGCGAACTTCTGCCCTCTGTCCCTCAGGCACCCAGACCTGGTCCAGGGGCCCCACAGACACGTGGAGTACGTTGTTGGACACGTGCTCCCAGCTGGAGCCCTGCGGGTAGCTGGGCGTGACCCCCTGGCGGTACCACAGGTTCCCTGGGGAGAGAAGGACATGACCAGAAGTGAGGCAAGAGTGTCAGGACCCACTTCGGGGTATGCAAAGCCGGGGCGGGGGGTCTAACCACCTTCCCCCTGTGTCTCCACCTTGCTGGACCTTTGCTGACAGCAAGAGGCAAGCCCCACAGCCAGCTCTGCCCTTCCCACACGCAGTGCCACCTGAGCTGCACAATCGTCCCGCTGGGCTGGGCTGGCAAAGTCATCCTCTTTCTACGCATGAGAAACTGAGAACAAGGAATTCTTTGCACAAACAGAGAGGACGGCTCTGGGATCACAGCCTTGGGTTTCTATCTGGCACCTGCGCTTTCCTTGCCTCGCTCAGTGGGGACATCCACGGCACAACAGGGAAAGGAGCCGGTGACAGACAGCTGCCATGCAGCCACCTCTGCAGCCCCCAGTTGCCTGCCATGGGGCTCCGGGGGTCACAGGCCTGAGTGGCACCTTCTAGAAGATGCTTCCAGCACAGGCCCCACTGTGCAGCGTCACCCTGACCTTGGCACTGTGCTCTGTGCCCCAGGCTGGGGCAGGGCTGCCCACCTCGGGGGTGCTGGTGCTCCGCAGCCTGGGGAGCTTGGGGGAGGGACCTGTGTGGAGACTGACCTCAGGCTGGGAGGCGCCTCATGGTGGCTTACAAAGGTCTTGTGTCAGGGACCTGGGGGCCAGTGAGGGTCTCATCCCATCAGGATGCTCAGGGAACCCCAGACCTCCCCCGGTGGCCACTGGGGGTCAGGAGCAACTTGCCGTTCTCATCCACGGCGTACACGGAGGTCTGGCCCACTGACACCTGCTTTAACCTCTGTTTGGGAGGAGACGGGATGTGGTGCCAGCAGTCACCTGCAACAGGAAGCCAGACTTGGATGCAGCTGGAAACATCAAACCTGCGACCCCAGCACTCAGGAGCACAGGCCTCCACTGCAGCTATCGGGGCTGGACGGGTGTTCTGGCATCTGTCCCCAGGCTGGCAGAACCACACAGGTGTGCTAGGGCCTGGTGTGAGCTGAGTGCCAAGCAGGGCCCAGCGGGAGGGGGCACAGCCTCTGGGGGGTCCCTGGCTCTGCCCCCAGCACATGGTCCACAGGCCACTTTCAGTAAATGCTTGTCAAGCTGAATTGAAAATCAGACCTGTCCACCAGCTTCCTCTGGAAGTGGAAACACAGCGATGTCCCTCTGACCAGCCGCATCCCTGTCACAGCTTGGTGGCGCTGGGTGGGGGTTCTCCTGAGGGGAGGCAGCACTCACCTGCTGGCTGGGAGGGGGACACGGAGCCCCGGGAGAAGGCGGAGCCATCCCTGGCCACGGCCCACACCTGGTAGCAGCCCCCAATGCAGACGGACGCGAAGGGCTGGTCAGTGCCAATGTGCAGCCAGGAGGAGCCCTGGAGAGTGGGTGAGGAGGACACTGAGGCTGCCTGGGCCCACCTCTGCCACCCCAAGTCCTGGGCCCCAGGAGCTGGCAGGGCTTCACGCCAACCTATCCTCAGCTCCAACTGCCCAGCGAGCCTGATGACCCCTCAGACCACATGCCGTGTCCACCAGTCCTAGAGACCATCCTGGGCAGGCCAAGGGAGGCCTGAGCCCAGCCCGACTCCACAAGAGTCCTGTTTCTGGAGAATAGGTCAGAACCCTGAGGGGACCTGCAGGGTGGGCCGGCCCGCTGGTCCCCAGAGACAGGGACAGGGTGCTCACCGCGGGGTTCAGCTCGGACACACCCAGGCGGCACAGCACATCCCCCTTGTCACTGGCAGCCCACAGTGCGATGCTGTGCCCACTCCCGTTGGCGCCAGGGCTCTCGGGGATGATGGACACGTCCCGGAGGAGAATAGGGGCCACCTCCAGCCAGGGCCCGCTGGTCACCAGCTTGCATTTTCTATATGGTGGAGAGAGCACAACCCCTGCTACTGCCAGCCTCAGGCCGCCCACCCGACACAGGGGAGCACCAGGCCACCTTTCTCCCCAAGGCTGCCTCAGCAGGGCCCTGGGGGGACCAGGAACACCCTGGCCCACCCCTCAGCATCTGGGTGGGCACTGCTTCCCGGATGGGTGGCAGTAAGGGGCCTGGAGACGTGGCTTTGCCCCCACCCGACCCCCGGTCCTGCCCTGCCCCCTGCCCTCAGCCAGGTCTCCAATGACATTTCCCTTATTTGTTCTTGAAAGCAAACTCTTCCGGAACTACAGCACGTTAGGAGCCCTCAGGCACTTCCTGGGCTGACATTTACTTTGATTTTGTTTTCCCTCCCCTCTCCCCTTTCCTTCTATTGGGACTGAGGTCAGAGGCTAGGAGGTTTGGCTTGGGAGGACCCAGTAGGACGGGTAGGGCCACACCCCCCAGTTACCTTGTGGCTCAGTCTTTACCTGGTCCAACACCTTCTCCTGACAAAATCCCTCATGGTTTTGTACCCGTGATATGCGCTGCAAGAGGTAGAAAAAGCTGAAATCGAGACCACTCCATGGAAGTTTCTGGAAAGTGACACTGCACACGCACATTCTTTCTCCACCCGTTAGAGGGCACAGAGCCTCGGTATAAACCATGGCATGGCCTCAAAGGGTAGCAGTTTCACCGGAAACAATGCTTGTCCTTCAGATGCCTCTAGACTGGCTGGGGTCTCCCTGGGGCCAGGGCATGGCAGCTGCTCAATTGGGGTTCTAGCTGAGGGGGCTCTAAACCCTCTCCACCCCAGGTCCCATCACAGCCCTTCTGGGGAACAGTCAAGCTGAGGGCCCACGGCCCCTGTCACCTGTCGGCTGCCATGGCTTGGCCCTGGGCCACTCCAGGCTCTGTCTTCCATTTGAATGTGACTTGGGTACCGTGAAGCCCTGCAGCCTGCTGACGCCATGCAACCGGCTGCCAGGGAAGCCCAGCTTAGCGGGCTTGTCGCTCACTTCTTTCACTGCCCGCCTCTGACACACTCAGCCTCCTGCCTCCCAGGACGGCGCTGGCCTCGCTCTCCATGCTGTGCTCAAGCTGCTCCTTC